TTTTGGTCCAGGTACAGCCATAACAATTTACGGATCACTCGCATCTTGAAATGCTTGGGAGAGATGGGCTATGAACACTACCAAGTGCAGCTGGTAAAGTTCTTCCTGACAGAGACTCTGGTCCACCAGATGTTGCCTCGGGTGCTGAGAAGTGTCTTGGACTACTTCATGTTCACCATCCGACACAAACTCAAACGACAGGAACTGGTCTATTTTGCCTGGCAACACTTCAAGCCAAAGCACGAATTTGTCTGGGGTCCTCACAAGAAACTCCGGAGGTTCAAACCTCAGTCCTCCGAGCTTCTGAGTAATCCAGAAGAGCAAGAACACACCAAGAAAGGAGACGGAGAGGTTGTGGAGAAGGACAGTGTTGAGTCACCCCAAGCAATCCTTCAGAGAAGGAAGTCTTCTGGGCAGGAAGAAGCTAGGGAAGCTCTAGAAAAAGAGAAACATGGGTCGTCAGAGGAGAGCTGTGTCGCTCACTATGATTTGGCTACAACAATACATCATAACCATATTGAGCAGCCTGTATCCAGCATTAGTGCCACGTTGAGCCTTTCAGCCAGTAATTCTATGCAGGGCAAAGGTATTGGGAGGAGAACAACCTCTGTAGAAGATGCTGATCTAACGCAAGATGGGGAGTTTGTAGAACCCCAGTTGAAACCTGTAGATGACTATAAGACTTCCAGAACAACAAATCAATCTCACCTTACTTTGGGAGAGAAGGAAGCCAAGGGAGACAGTGAAGAAGGCAGAGTAGCTTCAGATTGTCCTTTGGAAAGAAAGGATCATGCTGAAGAGCGTGTGGGTGAAGCTGAGGAAGAAAACCTCAAGGAATCCAAGAAGAGGAAGCTGGAGCTGAACAGATTAAGTGGAGAAACCCCTGAGGCATCCAAAAGCTCCAGTGATATTGAGAGGATCTCCCAAAATCTTGGCGAGGTGGTGATCACCAAGGAGGAAATTAACTTCTTGGCCCCCAAAGGTGGCAGTGAGGACTCCAGAGATGGGAAGGAGGTTGAATCCCTTGATGCGGTGAGAAAGAGGCGGAAAGTAGACATTGCACCCAAAGATGATTCTTCAGAAGTAGACAGTGAGGTGATCCCATCTAAAGACCAAGGAGCAAGTGATAGTACTCACGAAGATAAAGAGAACGATCTTGTCTGCCAAGAACAAACCAAAATGGCGGCCAATCCTTCTGCGGACACTTTGATAGGACCTAAGGCTGGAGCTGTGGAGGTGTTGGTTGATTCCAAAAAGAATGACCTCCCTGGAGATAGCTGTCTTCTGGAGAAAGCGAACGAACAAGAAACTACTGCTCCAACAGAAAGTGATGCCCCTTGGTTGTCTGAAACTATAACAGTTGATGAAAAGGGTGTAAGAAACAACGCAGGATGGAAAGAGCAGGACCTTGAAGAAACATCTGATGGTTTCCTAGAAAGGAATGAAATCTCCAAAATAAAGGAACGTGAAAGCACCACGGCTGGACCAGAAGAAGAGTAGTCCTATCCCAGATCGGATGAAACTGTCCCAAAATACTAGAGGTCCAAAGGGCGTGTATCTTTTCAAAAGCAGGTCAAAATAATCCTTGCTTGGTTTATGGTTTGGTCTCTCCAGGTTTTTATAAACATGGGATATAATTGACATCTTAAGGGTAACGTCTTTAGGATGAAAGATTACCACACTGAGGTGTGTCACTTGCGCATCTGATAGTCCCACTTCTAGAAGTCTTATTTCTTCTAATGAATTGCCCAAGGGCTTTGTTCTTCTTTTTTAACAGAAAGCACAGGCCTGTTAAATACAATGTATGCAACCTTGCAGGTGTGTTTTGCGGTGTTTGCTAGATGAGCCACAAGAATGTTATTTGCTAAATTAAGTTTGTCTTTGTTAAATAAAGATCTTTTAACTTTTTGAGGTGACATTTCTGGTTTCTTGTTAAGGAAGAAGGAATGAACTAAACCAGGGGTAGTCAACCTTGGCTCTTTTATGACTCGTGGACTTCAATTCCCAGAATTCCTGAGCCAGCTTTCCCCTCAGCTTAGCTGGCTCAGGAATTCTGGGAGTTGAAGTCCACGAGTCATAAAAGAGCCAAGGTTGACTACCCCTGAACTAAACAGTCTTCCATAGTTCTGTGTGTCACCACTCTGGAATAGGGACCCCAGAGCATTAAGGAAGAAAAATAACATATATGTACTCCTCGAATTACAACCACAATTGAGGCCAAAACATACGTTGCTAAGCAGGACAGTTGTTAAGTGAATTTTGCCTCATTTTACAACCTTTCTGGCCACAGTTGCTAAGCGAATCACTGCAGTTATTAAGTTAGTAACGTGGTTGTTAAGTGAATCTGGCTTCCCCATTGACTTTGCTTGATAGAAGGTCACAAAAGGGGGTCACATGACCCCAGGACAGTGCAACCGTCATAAATATGATCCAGTTGCCAGGTATCTTAATTTTGATCACATGACTATGGGGATGCTGCAATGGTCATATATGTGAAAACGAGTCATAAGTCCCTTTTCCAAAGTCATTGTAACTTTGTAACGGTCACTGAATGAAATATAACTTGAGGAATACCTACATCTGTATCTTAACTATTCCCAGTGGTGTTTGGTAACTGGGGGCACAGACTTCTGAAAACAGGCAAGAAGCTCGTAACTATTAACTAAAATTGAACTTGTTTCTTGTTGTATTGATCGCCTCCTATTAATCTTTATGGAGTTCCTATGACAGATTTGAGGATGGTGTGATGTAGTGAAAAAGAATGGTAGAACCTGGAAGTGGAATGAAAAGGGGATTCGGCCTAGAATCCCTAAGTCGCCACAATAGAACTAATCCCAACCCCCTTTGAGTGTCGTTAGATACTCTAAGCAGGTACCAACAGTTAATTGAGGAGATTTGTATGCTTAGGTCAGTGATGGCGAACCTTTTAGAGGCCGAGTGCCCAAAAACCTCCCCAGCCTTGCCCCGCTCCGCCCGCCCACCCCCGCCCTGCTCCACCCTCACCCTGCCTGCTCTCAGGGCCATCCACGGCCCGCCGCAGATTGCCCAAGTGGCCCTGCAGCACCATGGTGGCCATGCCCTCCGCCCGCGCCCCGCAGCATCACCTGCTGCCCAGCTGCCATGTGTTTGGCTGCGCTGCTCTGCCCGGGCCGCACCCGGGGGTGACTCTCCTCCAGGGGGACTGCTGATGAGGGGGATGCAGGGAAGGCGGGGCTGGGGCGACGGCATGTGTGCCCACAGAGAGGGCTCCGAGTGCCGCCTCTGGCACCCGTGTCATAGGTTCGCCACCACTGGCTTAGGTTGAGAAGATTCCTGCGCATAGGCTTTTAGCAATGAAGCATTTTAATGGAGCCTTTACAAATGGACCTGGTCTTTCATGCCTAATAGGTAGGAAAGGAATGAAGGAGATTTAATCAAGAGGTGGAAGGCAAATCCATTGGCATTTTATCTCATAAGCTTATCCCAAGTGCAGAGAAATCTGGAAAGAAGCATTTCAGATCACTCAAGGAATCTCTACCTGACCAATCCACAAATAAATGAGGATTGGAAATCCTTACAGTTTCCAAAATTCTATACAGGTAGTCCTTGACTTACAACCATGCATTTGGTAACCAAAGTTACAGTGGATTGCAATCTGCAACCTCAGGCAACTTCCAACAAGCAAAGTCAATGGGGAAAGCTGGGTTTGCTTAAGGACCATGTGATTCACTTAATAACCATGGTGATTTACTTAAGAACTGTTAACCGCAAAAAAATTGTAACACTGGGTGTCACTCACCTAGCCACTGTATCACTGAGCAGCAGAAGTTATGGTTCCGCTTGTAAGTTTAGGACTGGTGTATTTTCACCACCTCGAAGACTGGCATTAGTAAAATCTCTGGAGTTTTAATTCTTGTTTCCTTGACCTTGCCATCCGAGCTTATGATTAACCTGGTACATATAAAGGAAAAACGAACATGTGTTTTAGAAGAACGGAGCACATTGACCCAAAGCACCAGGAAGTTTTACTTTCTCACCTAGATCACTGTCAACCCTTTAGAAGAAACCCAGAAGCCCAGGCCTTTTTTAAAAGCTTTCCAGAAAATAACACGAAATGAGACAATTGCATTTAGCCAAACAAACTGTAAGTTAATATGCGTCATGATAGAAACCAGAAGTAGAGCGGTGTGGTGGCCTAGTGGTGAAGACACTCACCTCCCACACAGTAGGTTGAGAGTTCAAATCTAGGTAGCAGCAAAGGTTTCTCCTAGGGCAGCGGTAGACAACCTTGGCTCTTTTATGACTCGTGGACTTCAACTCACAGAATTCCTGAGCCAGCATGGGGGAAGTATGGCCCCCTCATGACTCGTGGACTTCAACTCACAGAATTCCTGAGCCAGCCATGCTGAGGGGAAAGGGAGAGGTTTCCAAGCTGAGCCATGCTAGCTCAGGAATTCTGGGAGTTGAAGTCCATATGTCTAAGGCAGGGCTAGGCACCCTTGGCTCTTTTATGACTCGTGGACTTCAACTCCCAGAATTCCTGAGCCAGCCATGCTGAGGAGAAATTGAGGTTTCCAAACTGAGCCATGCTGGCTCAGGAATTCTGGGAGTTGAAGTCCACGAGTCATAAAAGAGCCAAGGTTGCCTATCCCTGTCCTAGGGCATGAAGGAAAAAAATATCTGCTGTGAATTCTGCATGGTGTCAGGAAGGGCATCCAGCCAGTAAATACTCAGCTCCATCCAGGTGCTCCGACAAAAACAGACCCTATGCCAAAACAATAAGATAACTATTTTATACAGAAGCAAGACCTTGGTGTAAACTAGTTCTCTATCGGTAGTCCTCACCTTATGATCGTAAGTGATTAAGTGAATCTGTCTTCCCCCATTGACTTTGCTTGTTGGAAGCTGGCTGGGAAAGTTGCAAATGAGGAGTACATGGTCCTGGGATGTCACAACTACTATAAATTCATGCTGGTTGTGAACCATCACAATCACATGACCCCAAGAATGTGATGATGCTCCTTAACTGGGAACCGGTGATAAGTCACTTTTTTCAGTGCTGTTGTAACTTCAAATGGTTGCTTAAGGGGGTGTCTGATCTAATACTCTTGTGTTTATCTAGCGAGTCTAGGCTAATTCCCTGTTTGAGCCCCCCCCCTCCAACTGGGATGTTTGCTCCCCAACTCTACCGTTCAGATGGCCACCCAACTCAGACAGGCCAAAGTAGGCACCAATTTCAAGAAATGATTTCTCCTTGATTCGTTTCCACCCATTGCTTCTTGTCCTGCCTTCAGATGCTGTTCTTTGTGGCGGTCCCTTAGATAGTGGAAGATTTCTAACATGACACCCCTAGGAGGGTGATGCTACCAATTGCCAATCAACCTCACTATCTTGGACAGGTCATGATGGTGAACTCTCCCTTCATGCTGACTGGGGAATGCTGGGAGTTGAAGTCCATACAACATCTTCAAGTTGCTGATGTTGAGAAACATTGCTCTAGATAGGGTAGGCAACCTTGGCTCTTTTATGACTCGTGGACTTCAAATCCCAGAATTCCTGAGCCAGCCATGCTGAGGGGAAAGGGAGAGGTTTCCAAGCTGAGACATGCTGGCTCAGGAATTCTGGGAGTTGAAGTCCACGAGTCATGAGGGGGCCATAGTTCCCCCATGCTGGCTCAGGAATTCCGGGAGTTGAAGTCCACGAGTCATAAAAGAGCCAAGGTTGCCTACCCCTGCCCTAGATTCAGGGATGTCAGCAAGGAAAGGGTCAAAACGTCAAGATGGCATCCGCCACTGTGCATTTGAAACCCTGCCCTGCTTGTACATGTGTTGTGCATGTAGTGCATGTCAAAATGGGGCAGGCCTTGGATTGCAGAGTGGCAGCTGCCTCTGATTTTTTGACCATTTCCTTAGATGCCTCTGCTTGGTTGGTTACTACCTTGCATGCAAGCTGAATTGAGAAACTATCTTTTCAATTGGCATTCGTGATCGCATTCTCTTCAAGAGTTATTCTTGTTTTAAGCATCTGTTAGGCCCGTGGTGGCGAACCTATGGCACGGGTGCCAGAGGCGGCACTCAGAGCCCTCTCTGTGGGCACGTGAGCTGTCGCCCCAGTCCTAGGCCTTCAGCTGGGTTTTATAAAACCTTTTCGCTTTAGGCCTCCGCCGCCTTGTGCAAAAAAAAAAAAGGTTCAATCAATCAATTTCAACTTCTCACAAAAAAAAAAGATCTTGCAAAGTTGGAATTGATTGATTGAACTTTTTAGTTCCACCCAGTTGGCCGTTATCACCGCCCACCCAATGGGCCATACCCACCCAATTGGCCATACCCACCCAATTGGCCATACCCACCCAATGGGCCACATCCACCAATTGGGCCACGCCCACCTGGCACCCGACGATACATAAGTGGGTTTTCGGTTGCAGTTTTGGGCACTCGGTCTCTAAAAGGTTTGCCATCACTGTGTTAGGCTGAAGAAGTAACTTCCATTCCTTCAGTGATCTTTTTCTCAGTTTCATCCTGCTGAGAAAGATTATGCCAGTAATAAAGGAAGAATTATGGGGCAGCAGGAGGGCTTTGTCATTGATCTGAGTTACCAGAAGGATGAATGGACTCATTTTTACATCTTTAAGCCTTCAACGGTTCAGATAATAATCACAGCATGTACTTACTAAAGGAAGATCAATTATCAGCCATTAGCTGGCAGGCTTTATGGACTTCTTCACCATGAATTATGTGATATTTACCAGTATCACAGACAGCTTTATAGAACCAGGTTTAAAGATTATTTAATGAATAATCTAGGTCCTTAATTGGATGAACAGAGAAACTCAACCAACCTAGAAGGGAAGTAAAAAAAAAAGTCACATAGGGCTGAATGGCTGTAGCAGGATTTGTCAACCTTGGCTACTTTAAAATGTATGGACTTCA